GCCCGGCTAGCCACGTCCCCACGGCGCTCGCGTCAGCCCTCCCACGTCCCCACGGCGCTCGCGTCAGCCCGCCCACGTCCCCACGGCACGGCGCTCGTGTCAGCCTGCCCACGTCCCCACAGCACAGCGCTAACATAAGCCTATGCTGGGAGTGGGCTCACTGCTGTTCTTTCCAGGAGCCCCCAGTCCCCTCATGAGCCCTTTGTGACAATTTCCTGATGGACGTCATTGAGGGGCAGTGTGGACGAGGTGTTGTGTCAGATACCCCTAGTATGTGTTGACATGTAGGAGCCGCCTGCTGGGCCAAGGTGCTGTGGGGGCCGCCGCTGGAGGCAGGCACTGCAGGTCCAGGAGCCGCGTTCATCACCTGTGGTGTCTCCCACGCACCTGTGTTGTGGGGAGCGTGCTTCCCGGGTTTCCCTTCGAGGCACCGTCTTGCTCAAGACGACTGGGGCACCTAAGTGGGTTACAGGATGCCAGAAGGACTTGTCTCCCTTGTGGGTGAAGCCCCATCTCCTCCTGAGCGGGGTTCACCGCCCCAGCCGAGACGCTGGCTCCCCTGCTAGCTCCTGGCAGCAGGGATCGGAGTGGCCTGGAGGGCATGCAGCTGAGCACTCTCTGAGGCGGGGCCTGACCAGTGGTCCCGTGGTCGCGGACTCACTTGTACCTGCCTTGCTGACAGTGTACCCTGGAGGGGGGTCTACGCGGGACCCTGTCCCCGGGACACCTCTGTGAACCACAGCATGAATGCCAGGCGTTCGCAGGCAGCGAGGGGTCCTTCTGCCAGAACGGACTGCCGTCCTCCAGGGGGGAGAGACTCAATGTACCCCGCTTGCCCCCAGGTGGCCAGCTGGTCTCCTGAGGGTCAGGGTCATTCCCAGGTGCGGCTCTGGTCTCTGTTGCGGCTCTGGTCTCTGTTGCTCATGGTGAGTGGAGGTCTGTGCTGGTGAACCTGTGCTCCCTCCATTGCTGCCTGGCAGCCACTCTGTCCACTGCCTGTCCTGCCAGCCTGCAGTGGCTGACCCAGAGTTGTCGGACATCGGCCAGCAGGGGTGCTGTGTCTGACTTCCGTGGTGGCCGACATCGGCCAGCAGGGGTGCTGTGTCTGGCGTCGGCCAGTGGGAATGCTGTGTCTGTATTCTGTGGCATCTGGCGTCAGCCAGAAAGGACACGGTGTCTGGGTTCTGTGGTGTCCGGCATTGGCCGGCAGGGACATGATATTTGTATTCTGTGGCCTCTGACGTCGGCCAGCAGGGCCTGGTGCCTGCCTTCTGCGGCTTCTCATGGCGGCCAGGGCGGTGCAGCCTCTGCGTTCTGAACCCAAGCACCTGAAAGCCAGCCGTTGGGAGCCTTGGTGGCGCTGTAGTGATGTGCTTAGCTGCTAACCAGAAGGTTGGTGGTTTGAACCCACAGCCCCTTGATGGGAGAAGGTGTGGCGGTCTCACAGTGGCGGTCTTGGAGGCCTGGCAGAGCCGTCCCCCTCCGTCACACGGGGTCACGGACAGTGGGAGACGGCTCAGCAGCAGTGGTTGGGTTTGGGGTTAAGCCCAGCCTGGGGCTTCCCCTCTTCCATCAGCTGGTGGTGAGGGACCCTCGGGCAGATAGTCATGAGGGTGTTGGGCAGGTGACCTGGGTGTGGGACCGAGTCCAGCTGTGTCCTGCAGTCCACTTGGCCCGGAGCACCCATGCCCATCATGGTGACTGGCTGGTGGCTGTCTTGACCTGACCGGACTCTGGTCCTAACAGGCAGCCCAGGCATGTGGCTGATTGGTGTTCTGTGGCTTGGCTCAGTGTTCACCAGTGTCCCACATCACCAGGGCTGGGGGTGGCAGGTTGGGCGGGCTAGCCCCAGGATCCCAGGGCCCTGTGCTGCCCTGCACTGAACCCTGCAGGGCTGCAGGGGCTGCTGAGCAGTGTGGCCGGGAAGCAGGGTGGTTGGCGTTGCAGCCTGGCCTGCTGCAAGGCCTGCCTGAACCCTGCTGTCTAGCCTTCCACGCCATTCCAACTCGGGCAGGGGTCCTGAGGCCTTGCTACTGTTGCCCTCCTCCCTGGTGACAAGGCGGCCCCTGGCTGCTGGCCCCTCTCTGGAATGAGTGACCAGGCCTCCCCCATCTCTGGTGGGAGTAGTTCTGTCCCTATCTTGAGGTCACACGTTCAGAGAGGGTCCTGGCGCCTTGGGGCTCAGCCGCCTTGGATGGGGTCTTCTCGGGCTTGTGGGACTGGGCCTGGCCTCGGCCACGGGAGACGGTGCTCTGTGGGCCGAGGGCTGATGTTGAGTCCTTGCTGTCTTCCCCACTTTTCCCGAGGCTTCAGCTGAGCACACGCCGTGGCAGCTGTCGGCCCCCGTGTCCTCAGCCCCCACGTTTGCGTTGCATCAGTGAGTGCGCCCGGCCACTTCCAGCAGTCTCCCCACTTTCTGGGATAGCTGTTGGCTCAGCTGCTCTAGGGCAGGCCCTCTGGGAAGAGGTGGGAACTGGGGCTCGTTCTTGGGGCACACTGCTGGGATGGCCTGCGGCCTCCGCTGACCTGTGGGGCCTCGAGCCAGGATGGCCAGCAGTGTCTGAACGAGCTGGGCCTCGTGACCAGGCCTGTGTCTCTGGGTGGCAGTGGAGCGAGGGACTCCCTGTGCCAGGGCAGCAGACGGGGCCGGGGTGGCACCCTCATGTCCGTCATCGGGCTGAGCCTTGGCGATGGGGGGAACGTGGGCAGTACTGCCACAGGGCAGGGGGTCAGGTGGCTGAGTCACGGCTGGCGTAGCAGCCAGTCCATGCTGTCTGTGTGGCGCACGCTCTTCTCTGCAGCATGTTTGGTTCTGGGCTAACGTTCGTCATAGTAGTTAGAGTGGGCCCGTTTGTGGGTTCAATCTTGGTCTGATACTTGTCATGTCCATCACTAGATAGTTCGTTGAATTTGAAGCCAGGGTCTTAGGGGAAGTTTGGTTTCAGATGGGAGCTGCAGGCATTGTTGGACAACTCTTGTGGGTGTTTTAAGGAACTGAGAGTAACAAGACTTTTTTGGTGAAATGCGTGTTTTGCAGCTAAGGCGGTGTTCCATCACAGAGGCAGCCGGCCCCCCGTCCCCATCTCCAATGCCACCAAGCGTAGCTTCATGGCCAGCCCGGCCCCCGTGAGCCCAGCAGACCTGCAGCCGCCCATGGAGGCCTGTGCCCGGTACCACCTGCACCCAGAGGAGTCTGAGTGTCTGTAAGTCTGTCCGCCTGCAGTGGCACTGTTGTTCTCTTTTCTGTTTGTACATCTGTATAGCTTACAAATTAGTTGAACCCGTAGTTCTTCTTTGAACCAGTAACACCAAAAGGACGGACTGTCGTAGGTCCCCGCCTGCTGTGTGGGGGTGCCCAGGGTGCCACGGTGCCCCCCAAGGCAGGGTTCTGCCAGGAGTCGTCCACATCTGATGCTGGTTACGGAGCAGGCTTCTCTGTCTCTCCGCCACGCAGACCGCGCTGGGTGAAGCTCTTGGAGGCGAGCAGAGCAGGACGGGGGGGCAGACGGCACCCGGGTGAGGAGCAGGCCGCCTAGGCCCTGCCGCTGCCTCCCACCTCCGTGGGCACTCACCTGGCCTCTGGGGTGAAGCGAAGGCCCTGTTGGGAGGCTGGTGGGAAAGTTGGGTTGTTCACAAAGTGCTGGTTTAAAAAGCGGATTCTCGCTGTCAAGACCTAGCTGGGCACAGGATGAGGGGCTTCCCTTGGAAACAGGTGCGTCTCCTGTCAGCACAAGGCCTCAGCTGGCCCAGCCTGGCATGTCAGCGTGCCCTGCACGCATGGGGAGAACCAGCTCTTGAATGGAAACGTATTTTTAAAACGTGACCTCTGAGTTGGCATTTAAGTTCAAACTCAAAGCTGAATCTTGTGTTCCGTGTTGGGAGCTGCCTCTGGCCCTCTCTGAGGCCCCCCGTCCCAGGGTAAAGTTCCTGGTGCGCTTGTGGTCCATTGTCATGTTGTTGTTGTTGTTGTTGTTTTGTGCCGTCGATCCACAGCGACCCCTCCTTGGGTTTCTGAGGTGGTATCACTACGGAAGTAGATTGACCAGCCTTCCTTCCGAGGAGTGGCTGGTGGGTTTGAACCGCCAGCCTTCTGGTTTGCAGTTAAGTGCCTTACTATTTTTCCCAAAGAATCTGAATTTTTCACAGACCACTGGAGGTTAACAGTGGTCTTTGTGGTCGGCTTGGCTTTTGGTCTTGAATGGGAAGGCCATCTGGCGGGTGGCTGACTGTCTCTCCGCTCTTCCCTCCAGGGGGAAGGGGACTTGCACCTTCAGTCCGTCACACCCGTTGCTGCCGCTGAGGCAGAAACAGCAGAAGACACTGCAGGGGGAGGACGGCCCCGGTGAGGACACGCCCCACACCCCTCCCCTTGACACCCTCTTGCTCGATGGTTTGGTGACACGGTCCTGGGGTGAAGCTGACAGAAATCGCCACGATGAAGGCGGCAGCGGAATAAGCTTGCACTGTGGTTACGCCCCTTAGAGTTGGCAGCCTCTCGGGTGACTGGGTCACTGAAGCCTAGGCGGCTGTGAGCACTGCACAAAACGGCTGTGCTGTACGGGTGCTGGCAGCCTGTGGTCGTAACTCACTGTGGGTCTGTGGACCCGCACACGGGTGCTAGCGGGCCCGACGCTTGTAGCCCACGCCACGAGCGGGGTCTGCTCACGGGCGCTAGCGGGCCCAAGTGTCCTGTCCCGGCCTGTAGGCACGGTCTGTGGCTTGCACAGCACTGCCTTGTTGGAACTACCCAGAACTGTCTGCTGGGTGGTGTGGTCTCCTTGGGCTGCTGGACTACACCATGGTGTGTTTCCGCCAAATGTGGCTCTTGTGTCGAGGGAGTTCTGGGCGGTGTGAGCCAGGGGGCTGAGCAGTGGGAGCACATTGTTTTCCTCCGTACTGCAGATCAGCGACCCCGGTCGAACTCCCTCACCCGAGCCGATGGCCAGCCACGCGGTGCAGCGGTAGCATGGTCAGAAAAGAGAGCCAGGTAAGTGAGGGGAGGGGCCCAGGTGAATGAGGGGCTGCCTGCACGTGGGCCCCAGGTGAGTGAGGGGCTGCCTGCACGTGGGCCCCAGGTGAGTGAGGGGCCCAGGTAAATGAGGGACTGCCTGCACGTGGGCCCCAGGTGAGTGAGGGGCTGCCTGCACATCGGCCCTGTTTCTGTGTGGCGTCTTCCCTTAACTGGAAGTGGTGCTCAGGTGGGACCCAGGGAGCCCGCCAAGCCAGAGCTGCTCACTGAGGTGTAGAGGCACTCTCTGCCTCTCTCCCTCATTCTCACGAGGGGACGGTGGCAGTTCCCAGGGGCCCTGGGACATGTGGTAGCACAGGACGGAAGGCAAGCTTACATGGGAGAGCCTCCAGTAGCCAAAAGGCTGACAGGTGGGAAACAGAGCCAGGCCGCACTGTGACCCTTTTAATTTCTGATAACGTCATCATGTGGCAGGGTTGCTGCTGTGGTCTTGAAGTCAGGGTTGTAAGCGTTTCTGTTTTGATCAGCGTCAGCCAACATGACAAGGTCTTTGGGGTTCTTGGGTTTTTTAAGGTGTGAAGGGCCACCTCGGGGACCAGAACGTTGGTGACCCTCCGTGCTGGGGTGGCCTTGGGTCACCCTGGCTCTGGGGAGGGTCGGGGTCTCCTGTCCTCGAGATTCAGCCTGTGTGACTGTGGTGGAGTGTTTGGGGGGTGGTGCTGCATCCATTGGTCTCCTTTCCCCGCAGGCCTGTGTCCCAGCCCACCCCCTTTGCTGTTCATCACTCTGCGAGCTGTGACATGGACCCGGGCTCCAGTGACAGCATCAGCTTGGCTCGCTCCATCAGCAAAGACAGTCTGGCGTCCAACGTCGTCAGCCTCACCCCCCAGAATCAGCCGCACCCCGCGGCCACAAAGAGCAGTGGGAAGGACCTGCTAAGCAACGTCAGCATGGAGGGTGGTGACGAGGAGCTGGTGGCCATCATTGGGGCTGACGCCCCAGGGCCGGGGGCCGCCCCTCTTGCCTCGCCCTGGGCCCCGGGCCTGCCAGCCGCCAGGGCCTCCCAAAGGCCGGTAGGCTCCTCCGGGCGGACGCCTGAGGGGTTTTACTTGGAGCCACTGATGCCGGCGGTGCTGAGGCCGGCCAAAGAGAAGCAGGCTATCAGCAAGGAAGAGGAGCGCGGCGAGGGGCGGCCTAGGGCCCTGACTGCTAAGCGCTTGGGTGAGGCACACCAGTCCCTGGGACGAAGGACAGGGACCAGCAGCCACGGCAGCTGCGACCTGGACCGGACCTTCACCCCGATTTCCTGTGCGGAGTGCCCAGTGGGCATGGATCCCACACCCCCAGAGGTGGGACTGCCCTTGGCAGACGCCGCGGGAGACACGTGCGGCCGGCCCCCGCCTGGCGGCAATTTCCATCTGTCATCTCAGGGACTGTCTGCCGAGGGCTTCTTTCTCCACGTGGCCAGAGCCGCAGAGGACCCCGAGGGACGACTTAGTATGAGTGGCTCGCACGACTCAGAGACGTGGCCCTTCCTGAGGCAGGACTCCGATTCTGACGCGGCTGACGTGGAGGACGCCCAGCACGACCTGACAGCCGAGGACCACCCCATCGCCTTCTCGAGGTACGCCGGTGAGGAGGAGTCGGCCAAGCTTCAGGAGGACCTGAAGGTGAGGGAGCACGAGGACAAGGACGATGCCAGCGGCCGCTCGAGCCCCTGCCTGAGCACCGTCTCCCAGCTCAGCAGCGTCTCCGTGGCCAGTGGGAGCGTGAAGATGACCAGCTTCGCAGAGAGGAAGCTGCAGAGGCTCAACGGCTACGAGACCAGGTCCAGCACCAGCAGCTCCCAGCAGACCACCCCTGACGCGTCCGAGAGCTGCCCGGCACCGCTCACCACCTGGAAGCAGAAGAGAGAACAGAGCCCGAGCGGCCAGGGCCGCGACCACGCCAGCCTGCTGGCCTCTGAGCTGGCCCAGCTGCACATGCAGCTGGAGGAGAAGCGCCGGGCCATCGAGGCCCAGAAGAAGAAGATGGAGGCGCTGTCTGCCAGGCAGCGCCTAAAGCTCGGCCAGGCGGCCTTCCTGCACGTGGTGAAGAAGGGCAAAGCGGACGGCGTCCCACAGCCGCTCCGAGCGGAGCACTCCCAGCACAACGGGGACGCCTTGGACGACAGCGTGTGCAAGCTGGAGGAACCGCCCAACAGAGAGCAGAAGGAGGAGCTGCCCCGGGACCGTCCGGCTGTGGAGAGAGAGAAGCTGGCGCTCGGTCAGCAGCCCCAGCTGAGAGAGCTCGAGAAGAGCCCGGGGCTCCCTGCCGCCCTGCTGGCGGACGGCGTGGCTGAGGCGCTGGCCGTGAGCGAGTGCGACGTCTCCATCGAGAAGCTGAGCGAGACCATCAGCACCCTGCAGCAGGCCATCCTGCACATCTCCCAGCAGCAGGAGCAGCTCCTCGTCAAGTCCCCCGCGGGGCCTGCGCCTGCAGCCAAGAACGGCTCCCAGGAGCACAGAGGGAAGGCCGCTGTCCTGTTTGTCGAGCCGCTGTCTCCAACGGGGATGCCCGGCCACCGCAAACCCCCTAGGCTCCTTGGCCAGGGTCGGAGCTCCCGCCCAGGGCGTCCCGCCGAGCTGAAGGTCCCCAAGGAGAGGCAGCAGGGCTCTTCCCGGAGCAAAACCCCAACCCCGAGCACAGAGAGCCCCCCGCCCCCGAGGCAGGTCCCCCTCCACGGCCTCGCGGGGACCCCCCCTGAGCCAGGCCTGGAGAGCGCCGTGGACCCTGGGAGTGACCCCCGTGGCAAGCTGTTCTTTGACAGGTACAGGCTCCACGACGGGAGCAACCAGCGGACGCCTGCGCTGCCCTCCTGCAGGGACACCAACATCCTGTCGGAGGCTCTGGAGAGGAGCGCGGACCTGGCGGGGCTGGGCCGCCCCGACACCGGGAAGGAGAGCAGCCCCGCGGGAGAGCCCCCGAGGGGCAAGGCCGGCCTCATCGAGGTGGACCTCTCTGACCTGAAGGCGCCCGACGAGGACGGAGACGTGGAGACCCTCGACAGCTCGGGGGGCCTGGTCAGCGACGGCGACCAGAAGCCCGGCCTCGGGTTCTTCTTCAAGGTACCACACTGATGGCGTGGGCTCCCCACACGTCCCCATCCCGTGGTTGTGAGGGGCTCCCCGCGCATCTCTGCCCTGTAGTTTCCAAGGTACCACACTGATGGTGTGGGCTCCCCACGCGTCCCTGTCCTGTGGTTGTGAGGGGCTTCCCACGTGTCTCTGTCTCATAGTCTTCAAGGTATTGCACCAACAGGGTGGGCTCCCTGCGTGTCCCCATCGCATGGTTGTGAAGGGCTCCCCATGCATCCCCATCCTTTAGTTTCCAAGGTACTGCACCAACGGTGTGGGCTCCCTACGCGTCGCCATCCCATGGTTGTGAGAGGTGACCGAGGATGTGTGTGTTGCCCAGAGCCAGGGAGTGACCATGTCCCCTTCTGAGGGGTATGTGGTCTCTGCAGCAGCCATGCAGCTTTGCCAGACACAGCCATGACTAGCCTCAAGTGTGGGGACGTGCGGTGTGTGCCAGGGGGTCCTAAGTCACAGACGCTGATGTTTGACTCCACAGAAAACATCGTGAGGTTTTTCTTTCTTTAGATGGTTTTACAGCCATTGAAAATTGGGAAGATTGTTCTCGGCCCACATGTGGTACCTGACCCAGCCCGTGGGCTGTCGTGCCCGCCAGTGGCTGGGAAGCTGTGTGGACTGTGTAGGAACTTTGATGGTGTTTCATCTGTGTCTGGCCTCCTGTAACTTTCCTTCTGGGAAGAAGAGAGGAGTGACTTGGGATGACTGTTGTGTCTGAGTGTGTCCACGTTCCCTCCAGCAGTCTGAAATCACAGCGTGGCGCAGAGGCTTCGGTTTTTAGACACATGCTTTGCAGTGTGCACAGCTGATGGTTGGGTAATTCACTCACTATTAAGACCGGTGTAGAGTTTTTAGGACAAACCGAACATGAGACAAGCACTGGGAGAGTGGGCAGATGTCATGGACCCTCGTGGGACGGCAGTTTCCCATTGGTAATTTAAAGTCACACTCCTGTGTCAGTTAGGAGGGAGCGGACTGCCTCTGGGCACAGTTTTGTCACACACTCTGAGTACACGGGCGCACTGCCCAGGGGAACACGTGCCATGTGTCCCCAGGACGTGTGTCCCCAGGAGGAGCCATCCCTTGACGTGTGTCCCACAAGAGGAGCCGTCCCTTGACGTGTGTCCCCGGGATGTGTGTCCCCAGGAGGAGCCGTCCCTTGACATGTGTCCCCTGACGTGTGTGCTGTGTCTGCAGGACGAGCAGAAGGCAGAGGACGAGCTCGCAAAGAAGCGTGCGGCCTTCCTCCTGAAGCAGCAACGCAAGGCCGATGAGGCCCGTGTGCGGAAGCGGCAGCTGGAGGCGGAGGTCGAGCTCAAGAGAGACGAAGCCCGGTGAGCCTCCTCTGGGCCCAGCAAGGGACCTGCCAGGGGGCCGGGCGGGGCTGGCAGGGGCGGGGTGGCCCGGGGAGCAGGGCCTGGGTGGTGCCTCAGGCAGGCGCCAGGTTCCTGGGCTTCAGGTCTGCAGTCTCCCTGTGTGTTCTCCACCACACGGCACCATTGCGCGTCCACTCACGGACCCGCCCGTGGGTGTGCAGAGGGGGCGGGACCTACAGGGGGCCCTGGCTGCGCACCTCTGCGTGGACAGCTTGCACATACCTGTGCCCCCAGTGGGCCCCAGCGCACCTGCCTGGCCACGTCCCCACGCCCTGGTTACCTGGACACGGCCTGCTTTCAGGCGCAAGGCTGAGGAGGACCGGGTCCGGAAGGAGGAGGAGAAGGCACGCCGTGAGCTCATCAAGCAGGAGTACCTGCGGCGGAAGCAGCAGCAGGTCCTGGAGGAGCAGGGCCTGGGGAGACTCAAGTCCAAGCCAAAAAAGCCACGGCCCAAGTCGGTCCACCGCGAGGAGGGGTGCAGCGACGCGGGCACCAAGAGCTCCTCGACACGTAAGACGTCCTCATACACCACCGCCCTGCTGGGGGGTGCGGCTCGGCCGCCCCCATCCCCTGCACCGCCCTGCTGGGGGGTGTGGCTCGGCAGCCCTCGGGTTCCTAGGGGAGCTGTGAAGGAGGGTGGGTTGGGGTGCCACCCATCAGACCCATGAGACAGTGGGGCCCAGGCGCTCAGGTCCTCCAGGCGGGATGCACCTGGTGTTGGGCAGGTCCCGGACTGGGTTCTGTGAAGCCCCACGGGACGGGTGCTGTCGAGAGGCGTCTAGACGCTCCCTCTGCGCAGGCGGGGCTGCGGCACTCTGTGTGGACGCATCTGGGGCAGATGCCCGCGGTGCCAATGCCGCCTGTGGGTCTCGTCTGTCTCGTCTCTACAGCTGACAATCTGAGCTGTACCCAGTCTGGGTCCAGCCTGTCTTTGGCATCGGCAGCAACCACAGAGCCAGAGAGCATCCACTCGGGGGGCACCCCTTCCCAGCGGTGAGTGTCCGGCAGCCGGGGAGGGGGGCAGCGGGAGGGTGGACACAGAGGTTCTGTTCTTCCAGCTCTGCTGCGGTCTCACATTCTCAGGAGCCTGGCCTTCCTGCCCCATCCCGCCTCCCCGACAGCCTCTCCTCCCTGGTCTCCCCGATGCCCTCCCTGCCCCCCAGCCTCCTGTTGCTGGACCCCACCCAGCGTTTTGTCTCCCTCATTCCTTGTCCCCATGCACACCCAGGTGTTTTCATGGAGGAACATGGTGGGGCTCCAGCCTTTGTCCTGTGGCCACTGCACCCCTCACACCCTTTGATCTTCATCAGTTGCCCGTCCTTCCTTGATGAGCAGCCTCCCCAGTGACAAACCCCATTCTGGGTCACGTTGCCGGGCACTGTGTTGCTTTAGGCCCCCCGCCCCCCCGGTCTGGAGCGCTCTGCAGCTTTCCTTGTCGTGTGCCGACCACTTGGTCTGGGCTCTGGCTACGCGTGGGCTGTGCGTGTCTGCCTGGTGTGCCTGGGAACACTGCCCAGCAGGTCACCTGGCACCACCCAGCTGCCTAGGTCCCTGGTGCAGGTGGCACTGCCGGCTTTCTGGGTGGTGAGCCGCCCCTGTTGTGAAAGGTGATTTTTGAGGAGGTGGGTGCTGGGGTTCCAGCTAAAGCTAGCTCCCTGCACTCTGACATGGGCAGGGCACAGTGCATGCCTCTGCCACGTGTCCACTCATTGTGCGTGTGTGTGTGTGTCCACACGGCCAAGCCCTCTGTGTCAGCCGTGAGTGCGTTCCTGGGCTTTGCAGAGGACGCCATGTGGACGCTGGGTCCCGTTAGCCTGCCATGTAGAGCGTGTTGTGGTTCCTCCACTTGGCTGGACTCAGACCTGTCTTGGTTGCCCTGCTGCCAGCCGCAGCGGGGGGCTCAGTCTGCCAAGCCCCGCTTCCTGCCCTTGTACCAGCTGCACTCAGGGGAGGCGGCCTGCTGGGGGGCCAAGGGGTCCTTCCTGGGGCTCACCCATTTGGCGGTAGTGCACACGGCCCCAACTTCTGCAGCAGCTGGACCTGGTGGTCCACGGCCCTGGCCAGGCAGCAGCTGCCCAGTGCCCACGAAGTCTCCTTCCACGCTGAGGGCTGGGTAGTTCGCTCTCTGTCTTGGGCCCAGAGGTCATCCCTGAGCTCTCCAGGAGGGGCAGGCTGATGGTCCTCGCTTCTGTCACCTCGGGGCTGGGCCTGTCGGCGCTCACGCCCATACTCACAGCCTTGCAGCCTAGTGAGGCAGCTGACCAGGGGTAAGGCTGGTGTGGGTTGATGGCACACTGTCCGTCCCCGTCCTTCTCTGTCACAGAGTGGAGTCGCTGGAAGCACTGCCCACGCTGAGCCGGAACCCGAGCAGGAGCACAGACCGGGACTGGGAGACGGCATCAGCGGCGTCCTCCCTGGCCTCAGTGGCCGAGTACACAGGTAACAGCCCGGGGCCTGTGCAGAGGGGGCTGCCGTGTGGTTTACTCATCTGTCCTCAACAACAGCGTTTGTACGGTGACAGCCAAGAGGTCGTAGCTCTCGAGAGGGAGAGCGGCCTGACCCTGCGGTGGCTGGAGGGGGTGTGGGGTCTGGCTGCGGTGCTTTCTTTAGCAGCGTGAGGTAGCGAACGCTTTCAGACGCAGCTGACGGCCCTGCTCCTGCTGCCTCGCTTCTGTCACTTCCGTCACTCCCACAGTGGGGGCAGGGGCAGCGCCTGGGCTGTGCCATTTGCTTTTATCAGAGCAACTGAGATGAGAAAGGGGGAGGCTGCTTGGTCCCGTCTTTGTTAGGATTTTTGCCTCGGAAGTGCACCGATCACTTTGAAGTAGCAGTTACTCCGATGCTTTTCTGCTTCCCATTAAGACGCCACACCTGGGCTTCCCTGACCGGCCTCGTGCTGCCCAGACCCGGGCCTGCGGCTGTCTGTGCGTCTTCCCTGACCAGCCTCGTGCTGCGCGGGCCCGGGCCTGCGGCTGTCTGTGCATCTGGCCACAGCCCCTGGGGAAGCTCACCACACCCTCTGCCTCCACAGGCCCCCGGCTCTTCAGGGAACCCAGCAGCAAGTCGAACAAGCCGATCATCCACAACGCGATCTCGCACTGCTGCCTGGCGGGGAAGGTGAACGAGCCCCACAAGAACTCCATACTGGAGGTGAGTGTTGGAGCACCTGCTGCGGGGTGACGGTGTCTCCGGGGGAGGGTCCTGCCGCGGGGGGCACGAGGCCTTTGGCTCAGCACGAGGGCGGCTCGCAGGGTGCCCAAGGTCAGGGGGAGGCGCTGGCTCCAGGGCTGATGACACTGAGCATGTGATAGTAACAAGAATTCAGACAGAACCATCCACCCACTGTCCCCCCACCCCTGGTTAACCTGGTGGCTGATGACACCAAGCCTGTGACGGGATGGGTGAACCCCAAAACCATCACCCTGAGATCATCCCTTTTTTATTTTTTAGCAGTTTACTGAGATATAATTCACACCAGAACTCCCCCATTTAAAGTGTGTGAGTCAGCGGTCGCGTCACAGGCTGCCCGACCCTCACCCCCGTGTGCTTCCAGGGTAGTCTCGCTCCTTTAGAAAGAAACCCCATGCCCGTTAGCAGTCGCCGGCTGGTCCTCTCCGGCCCCCGTCACGCTCCAGTCTGCTCCCTGCCTCAGGTTCACCTGCTCGGGACGCCTGTGTGTCCGGCTGCTTTCCCTCAGCCTTTCCAGGTTCATCTGTGTTTGAGGGCGACTGGTGCTTCATTCTGGGTAATGGCTGGCCGACGTTTGGGCACACGGACAGGCCACGTCTTGTTCATCCACTCATTGGTCAATGGACAGAGTGTTGCCACGTTTTGGCCTCTGGGAACGCTGCTAGTATATTTATTCACATTCAGGTTTCCATGCGGACGTGTTTTCACCTTTCTGGAGTACGTACCTAGGAGAGGAGCTGCTGGGTGTGGCGGTTTGACCTAGTTGCACTTCTCCAGGGCCTGCAGTAGTCCGTGTACCTCCCAGCAGGGTGTGGGGGCTCCCTTTTCTCATGTCCTTGGCAACACCGGTTACTGTCTGTCTTGACCGTGGCCGCCTGGGGGTGTGAGGCGTGGCACGTCATTGTGGTTGGGGGCTGCCTTTCCCTCATGACTGACACAGTGGCGCACCCTCACGTGACTGCCACCATCCCGCGTGCCTGGACTTCTTGGGCAGCATCAGTGGCATATGGCAAGTCACTGAATGGCTGACCTGCTCCTGTTTAAAATGGGGACCCTGTGACTAGAGGGTGCCATCCCCTCGTGCTCAGTGCCCTCGACGGTGCCTGTCCTGCTGCGGGTCTGTGACCGCCGGCAGAAGCTTCTGGAAGTTCACTCCCCTCCTGTCCTTGTCTCCCCGTGCAGGAGCTGGACAAGTGCGATGCCAACCACTACATCATCCTGTTTCGGGATGCAGGCTGCCAGTTCCGGGCTCTCTACTGCTATTACCCTGACACTGAGGAGATTTACAAGTTAACCGGTACCGGCCCCAAGAGTGTCACAAAGAAGATGATCGACAAGCTGTACAAGTACAGCTCGGACCGGAAGCAGTTCAGCTTGATCCCAGCCAAGACCATGTCGGTCAGCGTGGACGCCCTCACCATCCACAACCACCTGTGGCAGCCCAGGCGGCCGGCGGCACCAAAGAAGACACAGACTCGGAAATGACACAGGCCAGCGGCCACAGGTGCCAGCAGCATCGGTGTTCACCCCCACGCCCTGGGTACGAAGCATGCAGAGTCGTGACCCTTTGTCAGAGAGGCTCCCGGACCACGGCAGGAGAGTTCCCTCAGCTCCCTGCACACTCGACAGACGTGGGGCAGCGAGAGGGAAGGGTGCCCGTGGCACCAGGTGACACAGGCTCTGCACCACTGGCTGCCACCCGCTCCCAGAGGCAGGTGCGTGAGGAGCCAGGGCTGAGGCGGCGGGCGGTCTCTGTTGACTTGAAGTTCTCCTCCAGGATAAGGAACAGATGGTTCAATTGGCTTTTCTTGCCTCTCCCTGCCTCCTGTGCTCGTCCTGACGGCCCGCGTGTTGGCAGGCCACACCCCTCATGAGGTCATGGCGCTGAGCCTGGATCCCGGGTCACGGTGCTTGGACGGCTCTGGAGAAGGGACCTGCGTCAACCTTCCCACTTGAAGAACTGTTGGCTGTTGCGTGGTGTGTCTCCTGCCAGCACCTACGCCCACATCCAGGAGAGCTGGAAGGTCCTTGTTCTTTGCTGCTCAGAAAAAGTTTACTGAAAAAAACAGTTCACTAAGGCACTGAAACCTGCAAGTTCTCTCTCCTGCTAAGTGACATTTCCTAGCATGGAGACAACAGTTTCTGTCTCATGGTCACCAGGAGGGTGAAAGGTACCGGGAGCCGCTGCCGTTGAAACAGGCTCGTGACGTCGTGACGGGTGCTCATGGCCTGCCGGCTTCAGGCGACCCATTGTCACTCTGCGCGTGCTCCTCTGAGGAGGTGCAGGTCTTTGAGCATTTAGATGCCATCGTGACTTGTAACTGGCTTCCTGTGTCCTACCCTGAGTCCCAGTTCTGGAGAAGCTGACGGATACTTTCGTTCAGTCAGGTGTTTGAAAACCATTCAAGCGGCTGTTTGCAGTTATTTCAGAGCTCCTAGTGAGTGGGATGGCTTTGGATTCTTGAGTGTTGGTCTTCTGGTCACAGACGCTGTCTGGGAGCCAGTGTGTCCCAGCCCTGTCCTCGGTACATTGAACCTCTGCCCACTCCAGGCACCTGGATCTCTACTGCACGTCCGTGGGACTCGCCAGCTGCCCTGATCTGACCTGGTTGCCAGGACACCGTGGAGTTGCCTCAGTTACTTGAACCCCTCTAACTGCAGAGGAAACTAAAGATCGTAGAAAGGTCCAAGACGAGCATAACTGCCAAGATCGGAGCGAGATGGAAGGAGAGTGGGCGGTGCACCGAGGAGAGAGCACGGTACAGAGACACTAGGGCAGCTGTGGGCGGGTTGCCACTTCCTCGGTCCCGTGGAGAAGATGGTAGCTGTGGCCATGTGTACATACCGCGGCAGCCGGGCTGCATCGCATGGGCCGTGCCCGCGTCCGGGGCTGACGGCAGTGCCATCCCTCGACGCAGAGTGTTGGGCGTCACCAGCGGACTCCCCCCGCTCCCCACCCGTGTGCTTGGTCCCTCACTGTTGTTTGATATTACGTCCCGTATTTATTTTAAGGAAGCACTAAGGGTAATAAAGTAATGAACTAATTTGCTTTATACTAATCGTGGGTGTGAGGTGGTGATAGCTCATTCTGGTGGTCACGTGTCCCCCAGCTCCTGGCAGAAAAGGGGTTTCACATCCAATTTTATTTCACTAGAGTCCATTTTACCGGACAATCTCCTGGATCCACTCTGGGGCAGCTAGCGTTGTAGCTGTGTCCTGCGTGGACTGAGCTCGTACTCTACGTTACAGCGTCAGCCTGTTGACTTCAGTGTTTTCAGTGAAGGTTGGGAGGTTCTCCTGGGAAATTACATGCCTAAAGAACCCGTGAGCTCAGTATTTTAACAGAATGACCTGCCGTTATTCAGAGCACCTGAAAGTCAGTTCCAGTGTTCAGTGTTTCCTGCTGTTCACGGTCAGGAACCACTGACCTGTGTTGCCCCACACCCACTGGCTGACGACAGTAGGGGCTGTCCTCGGGCCACCTGGATGGGGCGCCGGGGCCGTCCTCGGGCCATCTGCACGGGGCGCTGGGGCCATGCTCAGTCATCTGGACGGGGCGCCGGGGCCGTCTTCAGATGCTCTGGACAGGGCACTGGGGGCTGTCCTCGGCTGGTCCCGACGGGGTACTGGGGCCGTCCTCGGGTGCTTGGCGTATAGGTACATGAACTTTTACCACGTGTCACAACAGAGCTCAGAGCCCTTGGGTGACAGTAAAGTCACCACCTTTCTGTTTATACAGTTGTCTTGTAGCTATTTATACTGGTGACCTTGACCAGCACAGGGGTTGGGGCACCGACCTCTAAGTGGGTGAAAATCACATATTAACTGCTGACTGCCCAGAAACGTGGCCGCCAGCAGCTGCTGTTGTCCGGAAGCCCTGCTTCCTGAACAGCCAGCTGCCACAGCGCTCGTCCTGTGGTCTTCTCCTGAAGGCACTCACACAGCACGTGTTTGTGAGCACTCCGGAACGATAGCTGGGAGTGGATTGCCGTCAGGATCCATCTCGTCTGCACATCGGGGAGGAGGGCTGGCCTCCTGTACCTCGGGCGCAGGAGGCAGGGGCGCAGGCAGGTCCCACGGTGTGACTTTGTGGAGATACGTCATCGTTTCTGTCTGAAGCCTTTGCCTGTTCATCTCTCTAACAAGGTTCCTTTAGGGCACCACTTCTTCCACCGTTTGCTTTAGTTTCAGTGTCCGTGGCATAGAGGGTCCATGTTGGAAAAGCTGTCATGAGTCGTGAATAACCAGAACCCTTCTGCCCACGTGTCTGATGTCCAGACCTGCTACACGCCTTCCTCATGTGACACAGGCGTGGAGCCCTCTGCCTCCATCCCGCCTCTGCTCCCCTCCAAGGCCTGTACTTGAGGGAACTGCACACGCACAGGCCTGTGTCATTCCAGCCTCTGCTGTACACACCGCGTTTCCCAGAGCACCTCCAGTGTCCGTGCGGGGAGACTTCTCGTGCCAGGCGAGACTCCTCATCGTGGAAAAATTGTAATGGCTCATCACCTCTCAGAGCCATGACATCGTTGAAGACAAGCAGCTGTTGTCGTTCCAGATTGGATTTAACCTGAACCACAAAGTGCTGGCCAAATGTGCAAACACATAACAAGCTTTATGGGCAGGTCTTTGATAATGCCGTAAAAGGCAGCCCTGGGAGGCTTGGTCTTTAGAGTAAATGAAACGTCAGTGAGTCCTGTTACTTCAAAAACATGTATGCAGACGTGCAGGGTACACACCACTCACTTGTATGTGCATGTGTGCACACGCATGGAAGATGAACCGCGTGTGGGTGTGTGCCTGACTCCATGTCTTGAGCGTGTCACTGCGGTACAGTGTTGGCACGCCTCCACATCAATGACCGTCACTCAGCCAAAATTGGGCAGTGCCACAGATGGAATTGAAAAGTGTAGTTCTTAGAAATTTGGGAGGGAAAAGTGTTGCTGGAAATAAAATTCCCCATAAAGAGGACGGCTTAAATGTTCTGAATCGTCTCCTTATAGAAAGGGAGGATTTTGCCATAGCCACTGTGATGGGTGTGGAGGAGGGAGCCAAGAACTGTAAAACATTAACCACGTGAGCCCGCGGAGGCAGGCCCAGGCCTGTGACAGGCAAACCCTGGGGGAGCCAGCAACAGAACCAACATCCCCCCAGCCGGCCTCCCTGAACGCAGAGTCCAGGCTGCCGTTAGCAGGGAGCTCGGCTGGCACATCTTGGGGCTCGTGTTTTCATCTTGGACTAGGACGTCTACTCGGCCTCAGCAACTTGGTGTCCCTTCAGGGGGTCTGGGCTGCAGCTCACCTGTGAGGGGGCAGGGGGCCCACGACATCTGACGGCTGGTCTGTAGGCGGTGCCATGCTGTGCTCCGGGCAGCCGTGCTGCTTGGATGTGGCTGAGAAAAGCCCTCTTGGTACCACGTCCACTTCTTGGTCTAGGAGGATCTCTGCCACTTCTCTTGTTATAGAAGCAAGTATCAAAAACTCCACGTTGCTTCCTGTAGCGGTGAAGAGGAAGTGACATTGGTAGTTTGAAGTGATTTCTTGTACGGGCAAGTTCTTGGTAATGACATGTGCCTCGTGACTTGCCATCTAAGTTGACAAGAACCCTGTAGAATTGGAAGGACACAGCTCAGGAGACCAGAGGAGGCCCTGATGTGTGTCTGGATGAAGTCCCTGGCTTGAATCTGTAACATTCAGAGTCATGGCGCGGCAGCGCACCTCAGTCCTTCCCGTCTGCCCCGGGGAGGCCCAGGGTTCACGCCACTCGTCACGTCTGAAACATTAAGAAAATGTTTCGTAAAGAGTGGTCACAGGAAGTCACAATGTTTGAAACACGGTTCCGCTATTTCATTGTATCAACTGCCTGTGTTTACGCACTTTGGTCTGTCCCTCCTGTCCTTGTTACTGCTGACTTTGCAGCTCTGTTGTTGGTGGAACGTGGCGCTGGAGAGAAGCCTGCTCGTGGCAGCAACTGGAGACAAGGGAGGGAGGATTGAGGGCAGCGCGTTCCAGGCAGGCGCTGCTGACATTCAGACTAGGTTGTCTGAACTCTAGGACGCCATCTCGTGGTTGGAAATTGTACTTTATGCCATTGGTTGACAGGAATCAGATACTCCAGTAGTTTCTGCGTCTTCCTGAATTCTTTCTTTCAGAACGATCAGCACAAGGCCGGTCCCTGTGAGGCGGAGGTTGAAGACGTCCCAAGCGCCCAACGTTTCCAAACTGCCATGCTCCTTCCTCATCTGTTACACTACCTCCCCCTCCTCCCTCAGCAGTCTCCGTCCGTCTTAGGATTCCGTAGTTCGCTGTAACGTCTCACAGAACCACAGACTCCCAAGGAAACGGCTCTCATGGGGGTGGAGGCTGCCACCAGGTCTGCGGGTCGGTCCAGAGGATTCTCCCCACTCACGTGGTTGCAGGGGATGCAAACCCAGATCGACGCGTCGGATGACGGCCGCTGTCTCACGTCCAGGGGTGGGGCGATCA